AGTCATTGTAAAAAGTAAGTCCGGAAATTTCGAAACTTATAAGTGATTTTGTTTAGGATGTGCTCAGTTGAAGAGAATACACGAGGTGAGACGAGCCCGTATTATCCTGCGAAATGTTCGTTCTTTCTTTATTCAATCTAGAATTTGATCATGATATAAAATGCCTGCTGTGTCACAAAATAAAGGGCAATGAAGACGTGATTTCAGGTGAGCATAGAGAAGTCAGAGATGATGAAGATACCGAACGGCAACAGCAAACACCAAGCATCATCAGTGGGAGAAATCTAAATGCAGGTTTTTCTTCCCCTCACCTGGAAAGCATTGTTCCACCTACAGTCAGCCAGGATAAGATTGAAAGAGAAGAACGTGTGTTCATCACTCTGAAATCTGCAACATATACCATATTCCCTTAACCGTGAAAAATATTGTGTTATGTACTTGGTATAATTAGTTTTGTCACCAACATTCAGTAAATATTACATAAGTTAGTACTCTGTACATACTTAATTGCTCTCTGCTTATTATTCAAGACTACTTCAAGATCAATGCAACAAGAAATAAAGTCAACTCAGACATCACCTATTAAGTCTGTTCCATCGAAATCATGTTCAAATTTTGTAAGAAAAGTTCCTCGTTACGTTGTGCTTTGTTCTGAGTTGATTTAATTTGAAAATGTATATATATATATATATATTTACATTGACTTGTTTAAATATTTTATAGCCTGCTACTGATGAAGAAGTAAACATACTGAGAGGATTTAGTGACAAGGTATTTAATCTCTTAGTACATAACACCATCAGTTGCTTCTTATCATCACTGCCAGTTTCATTCTTTTGTTTTTATGATAATAATCTATTTATAAAAAAAGTGTTTTAAAAATTCGTAGCGACACAACTTAATTATATTTGATTATATAAATTGTAACAAAAATGATCGTTAAAACTGAAGTAGGTTTACTCATCTCTTTAGGAATGATATTTTTCCGGTGTTATCCATCTCTTCTACAATATAATATCTGAAATACAGCAATGATGCCTTCATCATCCATCGCCTATCTTTTCGGGATATTGAAAATCAGGAAGCACACAGTTCGAATTTCCCATTGATTGGTTCGATAGAATCGAAAAGTTCACTACCCATTGACGTATGAATTCCTTTTGTAAGGACGCTTCAGTAGTAATGCTCTTATGTCAATATATAGTTATGCTGTTGTAAAAAGGCTAATGCTGGAGTTGATGACGCGCGTTTTCTCCTATTCGGGACTCATCAGCTGGATATACTCGCATCTTCAGTGAATAGTGGCATTCCCAATGAAAGCTGAACTCGCCAAACATTGTTTTAAACTCAATAGCATTATCCGCTGGATGTTGAAGGCTCATAGAGAGAATGTTTAGGTTATAAAATAAATTCCTGTACATATTTACCGTTTTTCTGTCTAATTCCCATTTTTCAAAGACTTTTGCTTTGGAATACGATGCATATAAAATGATTTCCTCTCAGTTCACGTGTATAGTAATGTTGTGTGTGATTCAAGGAAGACAAAAGTGAGGTCATAGATTCAAAATTTAGACTAATACATGACTAATACAGAGGAGTTATACCAAATATGTTGCATGAATCGATCAAAAATACACAGATGTTCTTCACATGATCATAATGTTACAATACAGACAAATACCTACAGGTAGCTGAGGTTATATATATGTCCAAACAGTTTGAAAAAAATTTGGGCATTGGGTATATGATATTCATTACAATAAAGGTTTTCTTGTATTTCCTAATGAATGAAAAACAAAACGATATTGTTTTTACTGACGTTTCGCTATTTAATACTGTCAATAGCTTTATCAAAGTAGTATTTAACCAGAATTTACAAAATCTCAGCCTATATATAACAATTTAATCATCGTTCCTCAGCAAGGGGGCATTTCTCGTTGTCAAATTGGCCAGTGGGTAAAGATAACAAAACCAGGTGTAGATTGTTGGATTTGATAAGTGTATAAAATTGTAAAAGCAGCGTGTGTCTACATAATGAAATTGCTTATCACATTCGTGTTGATTTTGTTACTTCATGCGGGAGGGGGGTTTTGTAAACAGGTCAAATTCTGTTTTAGTCCATCATTCCTATTCAGCTCAGACAATTTGGTTTCCATTTGATATGAAGTGTTTCTGATATTTGACGTTCTTTGTAATTTCTGAAATTTTTCTGGATGATGATTTCAATATTGTCAAAATCAGTTTTGTGGCCTGATTCTATAGCGTGTAGACCTATGGCTTGTTCAACTGGATTTCTCGGTGGTCGAACAGAGGTGGCTCTACGATGTTCATTTCTTCTGATTTTGATTTCTCGAGAGGTTTGTCCGATGTATATCACATCACATCCCAAGCATTTTGTTTTATAGACACAATTAGGTAGAGAATCTTTAAGGATTTGTTCTTCTATATGGACAAGGTTGTTCTGCAGTGTGTCTGATGTTTTGAAAGAAAACTCTGATGTCGAGCTGATTGAGTACTCTTCTGATATCGTCTGACGTCTCCGCCCCAATGTGGAATGACAACTTCTGAGGTCCATGTTTTCGGAATACGTTGTCGACCATACTTAATGTCTGTGTTGATTTTGTTGATGAAGTTCCCTGGGTAGTTGTTTTACCAGAGAGTCTCAATAGTGTTTGATATTTCTTCTTCTTTTTCTTTTTCATAGGCATAAACGTAAAATAGATTGTGAAGTCAAATATCGCAGTTCCATAATGGTTAAGACTTTATTTTGATAAATCACAGTGTTGTACAGTTATATTAACTGATGACGTTTCGAGCACAAACTATTGCTCATAATCATATCAGTTAATATAACTGTACAACACTGTGTGATTTATCAAAATAAAATCTTAACCATTATGGAGTTATACTCTACCACAGTGCCCAAGTTTTATACTTATATCAAATATCGCAGTTTTTTTAACATATTAGAAGAAGTGTCAGCGCAGAATTTCTAACTATCAGTAGATTTATTTGTATGTGTGTACATGTGTTTGCCTGGAATAACCAGGTCTGAGTCAGTATATCATCACGGGCTATAAGGATCAACTAAACAGATAGTATCATAGGATGAATGTAAATTGTTGAGTTGTGCACTCATATGCACGTCATCTTTCAAACTTAAGCCTTTAATATGTAGTAAGATAAATGAAACGTTTCACCTTTTTATTTATATCATGTGAACATTAGATAGCTAATCTTTGTAATTCTAACTTGCTTCAGTCATTTCTTTATATAGATCACATTAATTTTCTGCATTTTGTCGTCGGGTTTAATGTTATGTTCTAGGTTAGATATGTGAAATCAAAATCTGAGAAAATGCGGTGTCCTAATAAAATTACTGTTTCTCTCTCTCAAGGAGAATACGCATAATAGAGAAGATTTGTAGCTCAGGTGGATGATTTGCAATTAATAGTGTTCTCTGAGCTGGTTGGTTTAGTTGCGAAGCTTTCGTCGTCCTTCTGGACAACATCTTCAGCGCAATATTTAGCATAAAGTGAACTGATTTAAATTTTCCATGAGTGATGTAATTGCGTCTCCTGGTAACTATCTTTACATATGTATTGATCATTTTCTATCGACTTGGATTTTAAACTTTCTAGTCACATGATTTACTTTTTATTAGTTGGTATATTTGGTCTATATTAATGTGTTTGTTAATTGCATATTCGTTTGAGTACCAGGCTTCTAGGAATTCTCTGGCACTTTTCGTGTTTCCTCTGTTTTGACATTATCCCAATCAAACTGATGACCATAATTATCTGTATGCATTGATACTAAAGAATACATATCATGTCTTTTCACGGCTGATTTGTGTTACTGGATTCTGATTCGAAGGGGACGCCCACTTTGGCCGATGTAATGTTTGTTGCAGTTCATACAATTTATTTTGTAAATGGTATTAATTTTACCCCCTTTTTCTGTTGGATCTTTTGGTTTGCATAATATCGAATTAATCGATTTTACTGGTTTGTGTGCTATATCTATATCTAATGGATTCAGTATTCTAGCTGTTATTTCAGAGATATTTTTCATGTATGGTAGGATGAATTTTCTTGTGGTCTTTGATGTTGGTTTCTTGTTGGTGTTATGATTCGATTTTAAACATTTTTTGATGAAATTTTGTGGATAACCATTCTTTTTGAAGACCGTTTGTAGATACTTTTCTTCCATTCTTTTCAACTCTGGAGTGATACAGTGTGTTTCAATTCTTTTAAACAATGTCTGCACACAGTTTCTCTTGTGAGTAATTGGATTATTGCTAGTATAGTTGAATATTTGATCTATGTGCATTGATTTTCTATATACTTGTGTTTCTAAATGTCCTGTGTTGGTTTTCTTGATAAGGACATCTAAATATGGGATTTTGTTACCTAATTCTTCTTCTATTGTGAATTTGATGTCTTCAAATATGTTGTTTATTAATTTATGCGTATATTCTAAATCACTTCTCTTAATTATTACAAATGTATCATCAACGTAACGTATCCAGATTTTCGGTTTAATTATAGGTAGAGCTATTAATTCTAATCTTTGCATAACGGCTTCAGCTATTAATCCTGATATGGGCTTCGCAACTAAACCAACCAGCTCAGAGAACACTATTAATTGCAGAATACGCATAAGTCATGAAGCCTCATACACCTTGAAATCACAAATCCATATTACCAAAGTATCCTAAACAAGTATTTGAGAATATAACATATTCCTTGGTGTTGTTTATTTGCTCTTAGTGATACAGACGTATCACTCAAATTGATTTTGGGCTCCTGTCAATCATCGCGTTTGAAAAAAGAGTAAGTTTTTACTACACCTCCTCATGTCAACTCCACGATTTCTCTTACTTCGAACTCTACTTCATCAAGTGAAGTCATACCTACTGGAATTCAGCATGCTTATAAGCCTCTTTAATTATATTTTAATAAAAACTTTCATTTGATTTTTGTGTTTTGTCATTGAAGGAAATCACCACCAACTCACCCGATTTACTTTATGAAAAGGGTATTGGATTTAATTTTCGATCGAATCAAACTTCTGGACAACATGAGGATGATGCCAACAGGATAACACGTACAGATTTGGAAGACAGAATTCTATCACGCCTTATGCTTCAGGTTTCTGAGCAGCTGACAAAGAATCAGTCCCAAAGTCAAGGTAGACTGACTATACCGATTCAATTTTTGAATGTGTACCTTGTTGTCATTTTACGTATTGTTTATGCCACCTTGTGCATCTCTGTGACTCACTGGTAGAACGCTCGCCAACGATGTACATGGTCCGGTGTTCGATCACCGACCAATGTACTCCTAAACCTCGCGTAGCCGCTGCAGAGACCGGCTATGACGGGGAGGTTGGGCGTGAGGCTAGCAACACCACTCCGAAAAAAGAAACACCACTGCTACTGAAACTTCAAAGCTCAATTTGAAGCCCTTAGTTCCACTCAAAATGCAAAGGAATAAAGTAAAATTATTCATAATAAATCTATACTAGTACAACTCTTTTGATGAATCAGATCAAAGAGAAAATAACCTGTCAATGACTTCATCAAAAGACGTAATATTTTCGTCAAACCATATAAAACTTCTCATAAATGTATTCCTACCTCGCTTAACATTGCCGGTCAAGTTAGCCAGTGGCTTAGTATGAGTAGTTCTTGTCTTTGCAGCATTATTCAATAGACCTTTGAAGTCTTATTGACTGACTTAACTTCGTCTGCATCTACGCTAGTTATTGTTTGTCAAATAAGTTCCTTAAAACTCGAACAACAGAACAGGCGAACCTTTGATTAAATACTGCTATTCTTTCTATGTCTTCCACTTTAAATGGACATCTCTCGGAGTAATAAAGGGAGAAGAGATGAACTTGTTCACGACACCCATGTCTTTTAATGGATATAAGAATATCACGCCTGCGCCAAAGATCACACAAGTTGACAAGTACCAACCCGGCCTTTGTATCCTTGCTCAGATTTTTTCGGCAACCAATTCATCAAGGCTGATGCAACTTTCTGAATAAATGAAGTGGTCAACCATTTCACTGCCTATCCTGAAATTCGAAGCAATTAAATGCCTTTTTGAATGTTAACGAAACAATAAAATGTAATAAGAATAGGGCTTGGCTACAGGGGCACAGCATAATTCCATCATAGAGTAAATTTATTTGGTAAAATCACACAGTGGTATACAGTGTTATTTACTGATGACGTTTCGAGCACAAGTTATTGCTAATAACCATATCATAAGATATAGTTCTTCTGAAGTATGTACTGTATTTGCACAACACATTTCGTACATTTTGATCACACAAGTAGTTGCCATACATATTTGTATAAAAGTTCACAGAAAATGAAACGTCTACATAGAAGCACTATACATCAAAATGCTTATATAGGGGGTCAAGATCACAGACTAGAGATACTACAAAAGAGGAAAATATTAGGGAAGATAACCCTTGGTCTAAAAATTGGATTACCGATGCTAGTTCAATATACTGACAAGTAGTTTTTGAACACATACAACAAGTTTAAGTCTTTCCATGGTTAGGGCTTCAAGTTGTTCAAGTATGCAATCCAGACCTGTTTGATACAGTGATTTAGACACACTGTTGAGATCAACTTTATGATCTGTCTCTGTGATATGCTTTGTGCTAGATGACATCGGGCATCTGTTTCTAGGCTCAGTTGGCGCAGGTTATGTAAATATCCTTTTGGGGATTTATTCAGTAGGTGGAGCCTTTTGTTTGAATCTTTCATAGGGTGTAATGAATTTTAGAGGATAGTTATTATCTAACAATCCCACAGCATGTACCAATTTACATCTGTGTGTGCTCACATGTACACAGGAAGCATCGAACGACGAATCTCAGCGGTGCCTTTAAAGCCAAATGTAAAACAGGTTTGAGTCATATACCTAAATTCATTGAGGCCCTTAGCCATAAAAGGCTTAAATCTGTTTTGTGTTCAGAAATTATCCGTTGTTACTTTGCACCTGCCTTGATAATCCAATTTTAAATCCAGGTTTATTTTACATATGGTTTTGACTCCTAGATTAAACACTTTGACCTTCATCATCTGTTTGTTCAACTGTATTGTTGAGTAAAAGCATCTGAATAACTATTTCGCTAATTGTCACACCTTCTAATTAACAGAGAGTGTAACTGTTGCTTATGGTACTTTGTCTTATGCTTCACTATTTGAAAAATACAGATGCTTCTTCAAAGGAGAATCTACAACAATTGGTTGAAGCCGCTTTATTAGAACGTCTTGGATCAATACTTTCTCCTCCTCCGTCAGTTAGTCCTTACCCATCTGCTCAACATCCACGTCTCAATACACCATTTTCGTCCCCTGAACGTTCTACTTGTTTAGATGCACCTCATGTACGTACTCCAATGGATAGTCCTAATAAGGGTGAATTACCCTACCCTGTTACACCAAGTGGTATGGAGACAAAAGTGAGTTCTATTGGATCGAATACTGTTGTTAACTTCCTATTCACTATTCTCATCCAAAATATAAAAATGATTATTAAAAACTTACCGGCAGAAGGACATCATCATAGACGTAGTTACAAACTGAGGAATTTCCTTTTTGAGTTGACTAAATTAATTTAGGCTTCCTTTTTTACTTGCACAGCCCGGGATAAGCGAAACAACCATGTGATAATGAATACACTTCAGCTTTGTTAGGCAGGCGCATTGTTCCTCAACTATGCATATTAGTCGACGGTTTATATCTTATCGCTTATATGGTCTCAGTTCCCAGTTCACTTATCATCCGGGATAGAGCATATTTTGTAGTCTTTTGTATTGTGAATTGATTAAGGACATTTCATCATGAAGTCTCATCTAGCTTGCAAACTTCTAACTTAAGAATGCACGTTTTCAAGTATTGGTTTGTAGGGATTTTGTTTGATTGCATGGAGGATTTCATCATGAGCTGACATCAGCTAGAGAACCGCTGGAAAACCTGGGAGTACTGGACAACTGTTTCGTCCTAGTTTGATCTACGAGCTCGCCTTGTAACCAGAAGGTCCTGCGTTCGAATCCCGGTGGGTGCGTACTGATGAAGAGTCCCAAACTAGGACGAAACAGTTGTCCAGTACTCCCAGGTTTTCAAGTGGTTCTTTTAACCGATGTCAGCCCATGATGAAATCCTCCATGCAATGCACGTTTTGTAAGGATTGTACATCATATAAGTATCAGGAATGAAATTTCGTTTCAGTGTAAATGTCAGTGGGAATTACGAAGTGTGTGTATCTGTACAGCAATTTTCTTTGTGTTAAATTTACACTGTGACTACTGAATAAAATTCTACAATATATTTACAAGTTGCTGTTATCTTTAACTACTAGACTTCAGATCCAACATTGAAATGGCAGCCTTACAATCCAGATGAAGAAAGTATTTTCAGGAATGCTGGTTCACCACTACCTGTTCGCCGTAATATCCCAACACCTGATCCATCATGCGTTGATAATTATAGTCTCAGGTCCAGAATACGTTCGCATTCGTCAAGTCCTGTCAAGTAAGGCTTATTTTTTTATTAATTACTCCAAAGAAAATATTTGTTTCAGTTTAACTGTTTACCTTAATGCTAAATGTGCAATAAGCGTCTTTTAACTTGTTTTGAATTGCAAGTTGTCTACCTAATTCTGCTTTGCATTGCTTATTTAGTACTCTTAGATTTTCATTTTTTACTGTGAAAAACTTTGGTTGTATGGTGTGTAGGTGGTGAATTAATAAAGTATTTCATCATGAGCTGACACATCGGTTAGAGAACCATTGGAAAACCTGGAAGTACTGGACAACTGTTTCGTCCAAGTTTGGGGATTCTTCATCAGTGCGCACCCACCAATGGGTTTCGAACCCGGTCACTTTAGGTCACTAGGCAAGCTAATGGACCCTTGAGCCACTGGGACCCGATCTAACGGCCAGTCTTATGAATTCGAACTTCTGTCAATTCATGATATAGAGCAACCACTAGCCAATGTCATCGGCAGTGAGTATTTGTCCTCACACCTGACCTGCTGTACCCCACTGGTCACAACCATCCACTAGAGCCTAGGTAACTACCTACCTGAACAGGGCGAGTCGCTGGTGATCATCAGATTGATATTCAAGTGTTGGTTTAGAAGGATTTGATTGATTGGTTAGAGGATTTCATCATGAGCTGAAGTCAGTTAGAGAACCACTTGAAAACCTGAGTAGAAGTTGGAATTAATAGTCTGGTCATTGGATTGGGTCCCATGGTCTACGAGCTCTCCTTGAGACTGGAAGATGCTGAGCTTTGAACCGTGGTGGGTGCGTACTGCTGAACCACTCACTGATGGTTCACTAATGAATGCATGAAACCAGAACTTTTATCATTTACAGTCAGAACACAACCATTAAATAGTACGGTTAAAAATCGGGAGTGTACTACTTCATGCTGGCAAAAAGTGTCACTAAGTGATATCTATAAAATGTATTCTGTTATTTTGGACCATAGATTTTAATTTTTGAGAATTCTTAAATGACTTAAATTGAAATGCAGTATTATATGTCGCAAAAATATTTTTATCGAACTCGTCAGTTCCCTCTTATGCTTGGATCTAAGGTACACTGACAATTAGTTGACTTTGATCTGTCTTTCACACTTTGGTTGAACGATAAAGCCATGGTAAACCCTCACAGATCATGAATTTCGCATAGTTTGGGGGTAGACATGCAATCTTGTAGTGTGTGGCTCTGAATTAGGCCATGATTTAGTCTACATTTTATATTTAACTATCTCTTAAGGTTACGAAACAATTATAAAAGATGAGATGTTAGTGTGGGATTCTCCTTGAAGCAAATTTCTAGATCCTGTGGCTTGATTTAAGGCTTTGATTAGCTGTTTAAATTTCCCTTGGCATTTATATCAATCCAATGTTCGAATTTTTATTTTATTTTTTTATTTTATTATAGCTTGACTCCACACAGTATTTTTGATACAAGTATGGAATTTTCAGCATGTGATATCGCTAGCCCAAATTTTGCAGACCGACCATTGACATCGGGTGTGCGTCGGCCGGGGATCGAACCCTGGACCATGTGCATGGTCGGCGAGCGCCCCAACCGCTGTGCCACCGACGCAGAAGGGAAAAACGAAAATTTTATTGAGTTCTTGATTCGAAATTGAAACTGATAAGTCTCTTAATGATAAGAACTCGCAATGAATGTATCATATCTGCATAATGAAATTCTCGAGAACCTTAAATGGCAGATAGTTCACCAGGTGCCATACCTTCGTGTGAGAAGTCACACTAAATTACACAACTATCTAAGTAATAATCAGCTTAGGTGACTTGTGTGGACATGTTGAATGTTAGCTAACTTACAAAATTGATTGTATCATGGTGGGTTTATACTTTTGTTCTGTGCCAGAGACCTAATCTGTTATTGAAAATTCAATTAATTCAGTCTTTTTGATTTCTTCAGGCTTTTGAAAGATAAATATTACCACCACTGATTGTTTCTGCTAACGATTACTGAGAATCTTCCCATAACATATGCTCCATTTTTATATTGATTCTTGCATTCTTCACAATGTTCTTCACCTGTCTTAGATCCAGATTTCTGTTATAATTTACCACGTATATCCCTAAGAAAATGAACCACCTTTTGGTCGGTTACCCTTAGTGAAATATCCTTCTAATAACAGTGTACTTTTGTACTTTTAAAAAATTAAATCTGAGTTTGTTTCAGCAGTTCAATATGTGAATTGACAATTAGTATAAGATTTTATTTATCGGTTGAGGCAATCGGTAACTTCTACCACTAGGCTATGTTGCAAAGATCTACATTGATAGTGTTACTCATCTGCCTATAGAAATGCCTTAATTTATGTCTAAAATCTGTTTCTTGTGATGATAATAACTAGTCTACTTATTAATATCAGTAAAAAGTTTGAGCACTGTGGATTAGATCAAATAAAGTATAATTATATTTTAATAGTTTACACACAATGATAAGTTTTGTTATTGGTAATATTTCGAGCAAAATTACCAATAACAAAACTTATCATTGTGTGTAAACTATTAAAATATAATTATACTTTATTTAGTCTACTTATATTTTTTATCAGTAGTGCAATTGCAACGGATAAATTTTTAACTTCACTGTTAGCATTACTCTTTATTTTTGAGTATTTTTCTCTTTTGATAAAATAGACAAAAATCCGCTATGGTCTCACCCATTCCATTTAGTCCAAGAAAAACAATATCTGAAAAAAGTGTTTCTGAAAAATCAGCCGATGTCACAGTAGGATCGCGAACTTCAAATATAAGCACTGTAGAACGAACAATAAGCTCATCATTCAGTGAACCGTTTAGTCTTACTGCACCAGATACATTCAGTGATGGAATGTGGTTGCTGGATCGTTCTGAGGGTGAAGCACCATATCCAACATCATATAACAAGTTGAAGGCGATTATGTCTAAAATGGAACCAATTCAAAGTTCAACTAAACGAAACGTAAGTGATTATTCAGAATTATATAATTTCTCATTTTACGGCAATGTTGTACAAAGTGTGCTTCTGTATTATTATTATTATTATTATTCCCTTGGGTTCCTAGTGGAACATAGGGCTTCAACTAGACGTCTCCATTTGCTTCTGTCTTCTGCTGTACTTTTCACCTGCATCCATGTTAGTTCATACTGTTTCAACTCCTCTTCACACGATCTCCTCCGTGTCACCTTTGAACGTCCCCCTCGCCGCTTCCCTTTCGGGTTCCACTCGAGTGATGGCCTGACACGCGATGTCACCCAGTGGACTCCTCAGCGAGTGTCCAATCCATCTCCACATTCTCCTGCATATTTGTTGGGCGATTGGTTCTTATTTTGTTTGTTCGCATAGTTTCTTGTTGGTGATTCTTTCCGGCCATCTGATCTTGAGTACAGAACGAAGACAGTTCTCGATAAAGGTCTGCAACCTGTTGAAAATACTCATTCTTTGTGACCCGCCAAGTTTCTGATCCATCCGTATAGAAGAACTGACTGACTTGACGTTTGTATTGAAAATCCGAATTTTGTTGTTGATGCTGAGTGATGAAGATTTCCAGATTGGTTTCAGGTTGATGAATGTGTTTCTCGCCTTCCCGATTCTCGATTTGACATCCTCGCCTAGATTACTAGCTCGCTAGTTTTCTAGCCGGTCCCAAGCCCGGATAAAGAGGGAGGGTCGGGGCTCTTGATGCTAGCAACTCCAACCCCAAAAGTTAACCAAATTGCTACAGAAACGTCAACGCACAAATATATTAAAAATACTAAAAATATAAACAATAATCTTATTTTTCTCTGGAATCAGGGAAGTGAAATGACGCAGGCTGGTGTATGCCTTCGGGAAGCCAGTCAGCCGATGTGTCTTCTTTCGATGAAAGCGAAAATGAGGATGGGGACGTGGTATGTTCGTAAAATGTACGAAGCTGGAAAGGCTGCCAAGGTAGCCGCAGAAATGAGAAGGTATGCAATAGAAGTGTTGGGAATCTGCGAGAGCAAATGGGACGGATATGGAGGGTACCAACTATTCCACTTCTATAGCGCCTGACTAGCTAAAGAAACTATGGATATATTCATTGATGAAAATATTCACATATGAGCAGACCTACATTATATTCTTGCAACCTCAATGAATGGACTGACTGGAGAGTTAGTTATTTGCTCCAAGAAATAGAAACGTTGCGAACAGTTGCCGTTTGAGCCATGCTCACCTATTTATGAAACACTCCTGCCTGTAACTCACTGGCTTATAATAACTTCGTGGTTATTTGCTTCTTCTAAGAAACAGCTAAGATAAAAATGTAATTTGAAGTAATTCTCTTGATCGAAATTAACATCATTTATTCTCTTTCACTATTTTGTTCCTATGTAAAAATGACTCCATATTACGGAGTGTGTTGGTTATTCGTGTATCTGCAATCATGAAGGGATTCGTGCCCCTTCTAAGAATCAGTGTTTCAGTCAGAAACATTACCACTGAGCTATTCCGAGTCAAGATTGACCTTCTATTAAACTGTTATGGGTACTTTCATTGGGCACTAGGTAGTAATTAGTGTTATGTCATGTCAGTCTGCACCAAAACAAAGGACTTGATGCATGATATTAGTTAGCCCTTAGTGTCAAACGAAAGTATGTTTCAAGGTACGACAAAGTGAAGAATCAATTCTGATAGCCTTCTATAGATACATAGATGACACATTCATTGTATGCCATGATTAACGTCACGCTTCATCTCTATTGGGCTTATTCAACAACGTACATAAGAGTATCACTTTCACGATGGAGCACGAAGACGCTGATAATTTCCACTTCCTGGATACAAAATTGGAGAGAAAAACGGATGGGACACTCGATAGAACTGTGTAAAGACACATGGAGCAGTCTCTACTTAAACTTCAACAGCTACTGGCCCAATCACAGTTACAAACAAACGCTGATGGAAACGCTTTTCTGCAGAGCGAAAAGAATATTTTCACCCGATAAATTAGACAGTGAACTAATACTGCTTGAGAATTGATTGAAAGAAAATGGTTATCCACAAAGTTTCATTGACAAATATGGTGAGAATCAACGTAAGAAACCTGATAAACCTACTGTCAGAAAGAAACTAGTTTTCGTTAAACTTGACTTCAAAGGCGATGATATTAAGGGAATAATAAAAAAATATTAAACGCAGCCCTGTACAGGACGTATTCTGCGGCTTTCTGCTCCGAACATCTTCCTCGTTGGTGCAGTTTAAGATCAACAAGTACGCTTCGTACATTACCTCCAACTGTATATTACCAATTCACGTGTATTTGCGGGAGCAGTTGCACTGGAAGAACAGAAAGAAGAGCTTACATCAGATTCTTCAAACAAGTACAAAGGAGCTTCCGGTTAAAGGGGTCAAGTAGTCTAAGGTCTTCAATTATCAAACACCTGATAGACACTGGACATCGAGTCGACGCTCTGGCGTCATTCGAAATAATTAACAAACAAAATAGCTCAAGTCTTCTTCGGTTTGCTGAGGCTATCGCAATAAAACGGCTGAAACCTGACTTATATGTCCAGAAGAAATCTATTGTTGAACTGCAATTACGCTGGTGAAGCATCCCGTGATAACTCTTTTTTTTCTCTTCAACCCGCCTCCTTTTTCCCCTGTTTGACTTCCATAAGAGGTAATTCTTCCTGACCTTATGATATTATATCGTCATCTTTTCATTTGACCTTTTGCGTACCAAATTTCGATCTTCTCGTATCTAACTACGTAATTGTTGCTAATTTGTTTTGTCACCACCCTAAGAACGAACTTGTCACTTAATTTTCTAGAAACTTCTCTCCGACAATTTGTATATATATATATATATATATATATAGCTACACTTCAGCTAGCTTATCATCCTGATTTTCTTATCTCAACATGACACTGTTATAATATGCTTGTCGATGACAAAAGTATGTTAAATTTTACTCGGACTTTTATTTATTAAAGATCACAGGTTGTATGCAGCTGATGAGAACCGACGAAATAAAATGGATCCATGTTATTCAGCACTCAATACTTGTTTATTCTTTGCTCAAATTTATAAAAGGGAATTCATAGATGAATTCTTTTCCATGGAGATTAATTCAACTCATTTGTGTCTAGGTATTTGAAACCATTAAAAAGTTATGATTCTTGTGTGATCCTGCATAGTCAGTATGCATTCCCAAGCAGGAACTGTTTGTGGAAGCAAAGGCAGACAAGTTTGATATCTTTTCGCGATGATAACGCCTTCGTGCATTTTATTTTCTTTTGAGGGGGAGGGGTATGAATTCACAGATGTCATCCATCGGAAAAGCATACAAGTCCCGTGATTCGATCGTGCCTTTTCCCAAATGAAACTGTGTATCTTAGAGATCGGCAAATCATATAAGTGTGTATTCTACAGAACACATAACTTTAACCTTTTTTTGAAACTTTCTACACCCGGCGTTCTCATCGAGCCAGAATTTTAACAAGAAACAGAAGTTTCCACAAATCAATCATGGGGAATGAGACTGAGAATGAAATGATTTCTTTTTAACAGTCGCTTGTTAGACTTTTGATGCTTCTGTTGGAGAGTATGTAGGCTTTTGTACTCACTGCTGAATAGTGATTCCAGTGGTGACTCATTGTGTTTTAACCTTCGGTTGTTACTCTGCAAAGTGTAGCTTTGAGATAAAATTCAGATACTGACTATAGGAGAATAGGGATATGCACATCTGAAGAATAATTTAATCCATTTAGATGACCTGAATTAAATGCTTGACAATGAACAATTACGTGTATTTTTTCCTTCACGTTCCCCAGTGGAACATAGGGCTTCAAGCTAGTGGCTTGAAGTTTCTGTAGCAGTATTTATTTTGCAGGATGGGGTTGCTATCCTCATGCCCAACCTTTCCTCTTTACCAGCATTATTTCTGGCTTAGCGAGGTAAAGGAGTGCGTCGGCCGGGGATCGAACCCTGAACCATGTGAATGGTCGGCGAGCGTCCTTACCGCTACACCATCGACGCACAATTGCGTGTATAAACGACCAAAATAATGTCTAAACCACTTTCTTGTGTTATTATTATTATATTTTTGTAATAGAATTCATTAACACTGACATTCAGTATTTCAAAAAGTACAAACTCCACCGATAGTTCTGCGTCTTCTCCTTCAAGAACCAGTAAAACACAATCACAAAAAGAACAAATAAGTCCAGGTCAATTTCCAGATGCTCTGAATACTGATCGTCTTAACCGTAAACACTTAAATCCACTTAATAATCCTATGCTTCATGTTTTGGCTTTGAAAAATTCGAATAATTTCAATAAAAATCAACTACCACACTATGAACGTAAAGAATTGAAGAAATTAAAAGAAAAGTTAAAAGAAAAGCACAAATCTGTCAACAGTATTGTACATACACATAGTCTTGAAGGCTTACCTAGTCTTTCTGGTAGTTCATCACCATCAGTCAAAGTAAAACAATCAAATTTGAATAATTCTCAGCGAAAATATCATCCAGTCAAATCAAAGTCTGCTGGTGTTGATGTTAAATTCAATGATGAGTCGTCTAAATCATTAGGCGAAGTGAAACCAAAATTATCACTGCATGAACCGACAAAAAAGATGACTTCGAAGAAAAAAAAGAGTAAGTAGCATTATTAGTGTCAATTTCTTTTTCTGGTCACAAGGTTTGATGTCATAAGTAAGTGTGTAAGCCATTCAAAGTTGTTGAACTGCCGACTAACTACAATCCCGACAGGTTTGTTCTAGTGTATTTGAATGATTTAATAAAATAGTTGATGCCGTGTCAGGCGTGTGCGTCGGTGGAACAGTGTTTAGGACTCTTGCCGACCATGCACATGGTCCGGGGTTCGACCCCCTGCCGGCACACACCCGATATCTATGGTTGGCCTGCAAAAATTTGGACTACCGATATCCATGCTGAAAATTCCATACTTGTACCAAAAAGTACGGTGTGGCATCAAGCTGTAATCAAAATAATAAAATAATAAATAATGATAATTATGATTATTACATTTATTTTGAACTAGTGTTACGTAAATTGTGCATGTTTTTGACTGTCAGATAAGCATATTTTAACTTTTTAAAATATGCTGCTTTACAAACAAAATTGAAAGATAAATACGGCTAAAGCTGTGTTAGGAATTCCAAAATACAAAGAAACACTTGTTTGGTTTTGGTCACTAGTCGAAATAATATTTTGTTATGTCTTGAGTTACATCCATAAGTGAATATAAATTGTAGAACTCGACTTTAGCAAATACTTACTTTTGGTAAATTGTCATCAAGCTTTACATTTACATACTGAAACACTAGTCAAAGGCATTTGAATTAATGTGGTTAATCAAATATAGGATCACAGTTCAGGGATGTGAGTTAATGGATAACAATCGAGGTGATCATAATAATAATAAGGGTAAATTCATTCAATTGTTTATATAATCTAGGCAATGGTGAGTGTATAGGTAGAGAATGTGCATACTAGTAGGGCTAGAGGGCGAAATAACTATTGTCACCTAGCGATTAGATAATATAGTAATAATAATAATAAATTGTGAAAGCGAGAGTAAAATGTACAACTAGAGCACAGCATGATATTGATGTTGACTGTTCATGTGGAGACAGTTAAATATAGGTAGAACGACTCGGTAAGTCCACAGTCGCCTTCTGGAGCATTGTCCCACGTGGTTTTGTAGAGGAGTCTTAAATTCAGTCAGAAGCTCCATACTAGCACACCTAGTGGGTGTGGGGCACAAGATTTTTATAAAAATTCAGCTTTTACAATTCTATAAAAGATGCTACATCAACTCCATAAATCGGTACGTCTTCGGCTGCTAAGCATAGCTGAGGCCGTTGCCATAATGATTTTGCAACTCAATCTGTGTGTTCAGAAAAAGTTTGTTCAATCTGTCTCCCTTTCTTAGCCTACATCCCACAACCTAAAATAGTTACCTCTCCTAGTGGCACTGGATCACTATATTTTATTTTGTTTTATTTGTAATGCTAACTGTATTATCAATATCATGCTGTGCTCTAGTTCCACATTTTACTCTCGGTTTCACAATTTATTATTATTATTACTTTACTATCTAATCGCTATGTGACAATAATTATTTCGCCCTCCAGCCCTACTTTTTTATTCCTTTACGTTCCCAGTGGAACATTGGGCTTCAAACAAGAGGATTAAAGTTTCTGTGGAAGTGGTGTCCATTTTTATGGCATGGGGGTGCTAGCTTCATGTCCAAAGACAGGACTCCAGGTGAACATAGACAAGATTGGGGTTATGAAAATAACCAACCAACAACAACAACAGCAACAACATCCAGCGCCAATCACCATCAATGGGAGGGATTTGAAAGAGGTTACTTCATTCACTTATCTAGGGAGCATTGTCTCAACTACAGGTGGAACGGACGAGGATGTCAAATCGAGAATCGGGAAGGCGAGAAACACATTCATCAACGTGAAACCAATCTGGAAATCTTCGTCACTCAACTCAGCATCAACAACAAAATTCGGATTTTCAATACAAACGTCAAGTCAGTCAGTTTTTCTATACGGATCAGAAACTTGGCGGGTCACAAAGAATGAGTATTTCCAACAGCCTATTGCAGACCTTTATCAACAACTGTCTTCGTTCTATACTGAAGATCAGATGGCCGGAAAGAATCACCAACAAGAAACTATGGGAAGAAACAAAATAAGAACCAGTCGCTCAACAAAATATGCAGGAGATAGTGGAGATTGATTGGACACTCGCTAAGGAGGCCGTTGGGGGCATCGCGTGTCAGTCCATAGCTCGAGTGGAACCCGAAAGGGAAGCGGCGAGTGGGACGTCCAAGAGTGGGTGACATGGAGGAGATCGTGTGAAGAGGAGTTGAAACAGTATGGATTAAAATGGATGCAGGTGAAAAGTACAGCAGAAGACAGAAGCAAATGGAGACGTCTAGTTGAAGCCCTATGTTCCAATAGGAACCCAAAGGAATAATAATAATAATAATTATTATTATTATTATGGTGATGATCACCTCGATTGTTATCCATTAATTCACATCCTTGAACTGTGATCCTATATTTTATTAACTACATTAATTCAAATGCCTATGACTAATATTTCAGTATGTAAATGTAAAGCTTGATGAGAATTTCCAGAAGAACTTATGTGCTTAAATCGTGTTCTATGATTATCATTATGGAAATATTTTAAGAATATAAATTGTCACACCATATGTCTCGCATGTGTAGTTGTATATCAGTAATGACTGAGTGCTGAGTCACATTGCTATTCTCATTTATTGATTGTTAATTTTTAATTTATAGCTACCATAGCAAGCTGTCATTCTATATAGTCAGGTCAAGGTGATCTATACACAGGAGAGAGCAGTTTTACAAATTCAGAACAGACACATTTTGGCGGAATATTCATATTGACTTAGGCCTAAGATTCAAATCGAAATAAACCTCATGAATTCTGTCTAGCTACATCAATAAAACAGTCTAAGGACATAGTTAACTCATGTGCACATGACATTAATACTTTCTGATGCGACATTCTACCAGTCGTTCTTACAACACAATGAAACATTCCGCTTTTCATAATCATTAAAAAAATTCAACCAGTTTCAGTTGTGAAATGGGTCCTTGTGAAATAAATTATGTCTTTGTGTAATGCAAAAATTTAGTGTGTCCAGGTTTGTCGGTGGCATAGCGGTTAGGATGCTCGCCGACCATACACATGATCCGGGGTTCGATCCCCGGCTGACGCACGCCAGAAATAATACTGGCAAAGAGGAAAGGTTGGGCATGAGGCTAGCAACCCCATCCTGTAAAATAAACACTGCTACAGAAACTTCAAGCCACTAGCTGAAGCCCTATGCTCCACTGGGGAACGTGAAGGATAAATAAAACGAAAAGGTTTGTCGAAATGTCTAAGGCAACCATAACTGCTAAGTTTATTCTTCTTATATGTACACAGATTTAATGTGTAGCTTTTGCTTATAGGGTCAGCAAGCAGTTCATGATTAGTGATTGTGGAATACCTTCTAATTGTTACCCTCATTTTTTTTTAATCATTTCACTTAAGATCATTCGATTGGTGAAGATGAAACTAAAGTTTCAATGTTACGTCAAGTTGAACTTGTACATTCCGATGACGATGATGATGATGATGACGATGCAACAACAATCGATGATGAAGCCTACGATGAAGATGATTTACCACCTGGTGAACGGAACAAAACTGATTTATTACGTAGTAATGTCAGTGAAAGTGGTGAAATTCCCCTTGGTAGTTTACGACTAGATCATACACATTCATCAACAACAACATACTACAACAATCCAAGAGATGATATAAATGTAGCACGTGAAATAGTTGCCAAAGTGCTTCGTGATACAATTGACCTTGGTCAGCGTTCTGGAGAGGATTCATCCACTAATTAAAACTGTATTCAGATCTTAAACCTTTTAATTCGTTTTCAATATTATTTCTAAATTAGAAAAGTGAAATAAAATTTATGAACAGTCGTATACTGGTAATTATTCATTTTTAATTTGTTATACATGGAAGTACTTCAACAAATCCACTTGATTCAGGGTTTATGCTGCTGCTGCTGGATTCAACATAGAACTTGGCACCGAAGTGCAGCAGTTCGAGTTGTCACGTTCCAAATAGCACGCAAAGGTAGACAAGAAAATGAATGAAGAGAAGCAATGGAATTTAGACAAGTATAAGAGTGAAACAGAATGAGTAATGGTAGAAAGGAATATGAAAGATTAAAGAGACTGAATACATCTGCGCCGTTGACAACGATTTTTAGTCATGTCACCTAGTGTCTCCAGCCATTGATTCTTAGAGTCTCGAGGGCCCCAACCCGGAAGTCTGCATCTCCCTACCTGACTCAGTTTAACTGTCAGGGATTTCATGGATTGATGCCATGTTTTTGTTTGGCCACCACTTACTCTTTTCCAACCTGCACCTATATCAGCTAGTAATGCCCGTCGAGGGAGGCGATGGCTAGGCATGCGCAGCACGTGACCTAGCCATCTCAATCTATGTAACTTTATAGCCTCTTTGAGTGATTTTCCCTCTTTGCCCAACACTCTACGCCTAACGTCAACATTACTTACTTTATTATACCACCTAACGCGAGAAAGAGATCGTAAAAATCTGTGGTCAAAAACAAACAATCTCTTCGTGTCTTCAGGGCTTATAAAACTGTGTCTCACATGGTAGGATTAAATGTAAGTTTGTGCAACAAATCACCAATCGATACAGATCTTACGGCATTAGAAATTTCATCAGGGTAGATCATGAAATCATTAACAGAACTGAGTTATCCATCTCTGAAGTCATATTCAGATTTATGACACCTGTGCTTGCCGTATTCAGAAGTGGTTTGTAGTTCCTTTGTTCCACCTCTTTGGGAATTGGATTCCATTCAGTATCTTTCACTGTCACAATTTGCGTTTTGTCTTCCAGGACCAAGACCTCGTTTTTCGATTAGTGTTACGAAGTCATTTCTAGCACAACATTCCTTGCTTCGGTTGCCTCAAAGTACATTAAATAATTTACATATACGTGCCAGAGCAAATATATTCGAATGATACAGAGGCGTGTTATTGTCCGATTTCTAAACACAAACCAAAGACACAGTTTTCGTTCAGCAAAAAATATTTATTTTCCACGAGGTTGTAAGCGTGCTCTCCGCAAACGAGAACATGAACACTATCCGCTTTGGTAAACGAAAGGTGAGCAAAGGTCTGCGAAGTCTTCAGTTTGTCATTCAGCCCCACTGAATTTATCCTTCATAGTTATAAACAGGAGTAAATCTGACCACTTTAAAAGCTTCCGTTTTCTCCACTTATGCATAGCCGAAGCACTAACTATACATGGCCAAAATCCTAGATGGTTTGTTCAAGAACCTTTTGTTAAACCCCTTTCTTTACCTTGGTCGTATTAATGCTCTTTTTATTTCATTATCCTTTACCACTTGAATTTACTCCACCTCAATTCCACTTCACCATCTTCAACATTATCATCATCGTACACTCTAATTTTCATATGATAGAGAAGATTTGTAGCTCAGGTGGATGATTTCGATGTGGTTGTGTTCTCTGAGCTAGATAGTTAATTTGCGAAGCTTTCATCACCCTACTGGGTGACGTCCACTTTGTCTTCGTATCCACGAACATAAGCTAGCTGTCAAAAGACATGACATCCACTCCCTCATATCACTACATACAGACAACCACGGACATCAATTCGACAGGGACAATGTTCAAATATTAGACAGAGGAAACAACAAGAATGCTAGAGAATGTTTAGAAGCTTGGCATTCCAGTGAATCATCAATCATTAGACACATTGAGATAGACAAAATTTATCAACCGATAAGAAAGAAACGTCACACACAAAGGGTCAACGTTCAAGTCAAAGAAACAATGAGTGGCAATACAAGTAACCTAGAAGGCGTGAAAACACACAAAAACAACCAATCACGTCCAAGGTCGCCAGGAGAGATGATTAATAAACTAGTGGAGAAATCTGAAAGCTCACTTCAAATTGAAGTATGCACTGAAGATGTCACCCAGTAGGGTGATGAAAGCTTTGCAAATTAACTATCCAGCTCGGAGGACACAACCACATCAAAAACTCTCATTTTCAAACAGCACTTCAACTACAATTTCAAAACCTCAATACCAGTCCAGTTATTTAATAATCTTCAACGCTACTCCCTTAGCACATCATTTTAATCATCTTTACGTTTATCACATGTATGTGGACTGAACAATTTCTAGTGCCACTCACTGCCTTTTTTTCCGTAATATAAATAAGACTGCATAGTGGTCTTCAAAATGAAGTCGTTGTAAAGAAATATTGCTTCGCTGAGCATAACCTGTGTCTTTCCTTACAAACCAGAGAACCTGCGACTATAGGTGTCGAAAGTATTGAACAGTGCAATTGGACACTAGTGATACTGTGAAAAATCTGATGGCGTTTATAGCAATCAACAAGTACAAGAAACCTAGTCTATTGCATTTCGCTAAAACAATCGTTATCAAGCGGCTGAATTCAAACCCGTGTGCTCAGGAAAACGACAGCTACGAACATCACGCTACCTTGGTGAAGTAAACGAAGTAATGCAGTTTTCGTTACGCCATGTATTCTCCTATATCTCCTGTTATGTAGCTTCATCTCAACGTCAGTCACCTTGATGCTTTTACGTTATATCATAGAAATTCATTTTCTCTTGTTACGCAACCTATAGAATCGATTTACTCTTCATGGTTAAACTTCGACTCTTCCCAAATATTTGAAACGCTGTTCTTTCTTCAAGAATATTCGTCTAATCATCCTACAAATAGTCAATCATGCGAACTCCTAGTGATGCAACAACGCACATCATTCCAGCATTATCTTACCTATGCCTCCAATCAGACACTCAATCTCATCACATCAAAACTTATGTTCAAATATTTCATCTAATTTATATTTTTGTATAGTTCGTGTTGTAACCAGATAACAAGAGGCCACAAGACAATGAATCATGAGCTCAAATTATCCTGCTTGTTAGTATTACTTTGCAGTACTCAAGAAGACTTCTGATTACTCGGTTGTGATTCCTCAAACATTCCTTACTCACACAGCTTATGAATCAGTGAATAAGTACACTTATGACCAAGTGTCGATTTTCAATGTCAAATGAATTTTGAGACTTTCAATTGACAAGCATGAAAAACGGTCATACTTCCGTCGGAAATGTTCCCTCTGTGGCGGGAAGCAAACTCACTTCGTCAATTCAACTTACAATTCACTAAATGTCTGTCAACGATAATCAGATGGTCAGTTGACAAACATTCCAACTCACTCAAAACATTATCAAAGTCATCCTGTCGGACTCTAACCAACCTCCTGGCTCATAATTATCTCTTTGCATATCCTAAGTTAGGACGTGAAACTCTCACGATGCATTATTTGGCTCATATCTCATTCGATTGAAGAGCGTCAGACATCTTGCTAACAACTGACTGTGAAAGAGTGAATAAACAGCTCATTTCATTCCCCCCAACACAACATTATTTGTCTCACTGTTCCCATCAACTTACAATTCATCCTTACAATTATATAATATCCCAGTTATAAGTACTATGAATATCATCCGGTTCTGTAGTCAATGATTTCTCCTGTAATATCCGATGTGAAGGGAATAATACTTGGTGCAGTAGTGAACTACACTGCATCGAGAGTGTTGTTTACAATGAAGTCGTCATCATTACCGTATACTGCAAGTTGTTTTCAACGAATCAACCTGTGAAGACCATTTAAGGTCTTGAAATTAGGTGACTTGAGTTAATTCGACTCAAATCTAGAGAGGACAAATTATCTTTAGTGACTGACTGCTACATAGATTACGGAGAGTCTAAGTGAGAAGTCGTGATTGTTGGTTCCAACCGAGTTGGAGTTGAAACTGATGACAGTGGATAGAGATGTAATGATATGGAGAATTAACAATGACGAGTATTCATAGAAACCTAAGACTATCATCCATAAGCTAATTCGAAACCCACTCCCTTACAAAGACTGAGGAATGTGGTTTACATCGATAATGGGGTCGTGGTTATGCACTGTGAACGACTCTTACACCGAAGTCACCGCACGAAATGTGAACATAATGTGTGTTAAGAATGAATTAACTTACAACAGACTCTGTCTTCTTCTTCTTATTGTATAGATTCTCGAGATACTTCTCAGTGAAGCCCAATGTCAGTTTGTTCTCATTCCTTCCCATTTGTGATGAAATATATCGCTGTTTCGTTTTCTTGTTCTGACTCCAGTTAGTTGGAATTGTCGGTGAATTTGTGACAAATGATTCCCTACTTTGTCTTGGAAGCGCTGAACTCAACTGTTCAGATTGCAGAAAATGTCTCCTAAGTACGTGATTCAGACACCACAAAATCGTGACAATGATCCCCAAAGCGAGTACAACCTTCGTTTCATTCATTTGAATAATTCGTTAACTGGACTTGCTGCAGTTATATGCCAAGTAACTTTGTAATCAAAATGAGGGCCAATTAAAAGCAACAAATGCAAAAGGCTTAGAAGATAAAATCAATCATAACGAAATTAACCTCACAACAATGAATTTATAAGGTCACGTGTGAACTGGCGTCCCTTATATACAAAAATGATAGGTCCAAGGCTTCCTGCCGATTGCCTCCAACTATCTAATGATAATATATTATTATTATTTGCGATAGTACAGATAAGAAAATGAATTCGCCGAAAAGAGTCTCTTCGCTGACCTATGCGTTTTGTTTTTATTAATGCCTCAATGGAGATCATTCATGAAATACATCAATCACACTCTTACATGGGAATTAGCACTGGTTTCGCTTGCAAACTCACTCAATATGTCATTAAGTGCCTTTTCAAAGGAGGCCAATGAACTTGCTAGTTGCATTTCCTTAGGTAGTTTGTTTCATATTGGGCATAGCTAATCAAGAAAAACGTTTGCCTGGTGGTT